AGCTTCATAAAATTATTTTCATTGCTACTTTATAACTGTAATTTTGCTACTGTTATGACCCGGGCGACCCCTGTGAAAGGGTCGTTTGACCACCCCTACCCCCCAAAAGGTCACGACCCACAGGTTGAGAGCTGCTACTGTAGAAGAATATCTCTTAGCAATACTGGTATCTTTAAATTCTTGCAGGTACTTATCTTGGGCCTTAGACACAAACCAGGAAGAACGAGACAAGGGTAAAACTGTTGAAGTGGGTCGTGCCTATTTTGAAACCGAAAAGAAGCATTTCACAATTCTAGATGCCCCTGGTCACAAGAGTTTTGTTCCAAATATGATTGGTGGTGCTTCTCAAGCCGACTTGGCAGTGCTGGTAAGAAAATCATTTTCACTCTATCATTGGTTAGAAGGCCCCACATGAATCTAAAAGGTAGAATTCAGTTGCAAGTAGCTATAATAATGCTCGTAGTCACAATCTGCCCTCTTGTTTCACTAAGAAAGTTAGGAAATCTTTAGTATATACTTAGAGAAGAGTGTTTCAATGTTTTTGTTTCTTTGCTTTCTAACCTGTTGTTGTTATCCATCACTGTGTCAGAATAGCGGTTATATGTTGGGCTGCTAACCAGAAGGTCAACCGTTTGAAACCACCAGTCACTCCAAGGGAGAGATGTGAGGCTTTCTACTTGTGTACAGAGTCTTAGAAACTCACTGAGGCAGTTCTGCCCTGCCCTATCTGGTCGCTGAGTCAGAATAGACAGATGACAGGGAGTTTGAGTGTCTACTAAATGCCAGAGCCACCACTAAGCACTGGTTATAAAGATAACAAGAAACTGCCCTTTGGGGGCGCCTCATCCTTTTGTGATTGTGACAGGCCGTGGCACTGGAGCCCCTTAATGTGTGTTGACAAAGCCCCCAGGCATACTGGATCCCACAAAGTTGGGTGTGGGAATCAGTGTGGGCCAAAATGTTGAACCACTTCGTGTTTGCCTTGTAATGTTGGCAAAGACACAGGTTGGAACTTTGCTTGTATTTTCTTGCAAAAAGTGTCTGGTGTGACTTAAAGGAAAGGTGTCGTCCTGCTCGAAAGGCATTCTTGACTGTGTAAGAATAACCTGTTTGATTTCCTGCGATAGGTAATCTCTGCCAGGAAAGGAGAATTTGAAACTGGATTTGAAAAGGGGGGACAGACAAGAGAACATGCAATGTTGGCAAAGACCGCCGGTGTGAAACACTTAATTGTACTCATCAATAAGATGGATGACCCAACAGTAAATTGGAGCAATGAGAGGTAAGTGTAGATGGGGTTTGCTGCTACCTGGATGCTTGTTTGTTTGCTTGTTTGTTTGTTTTTAGCAGGTAGGTTAGTGGATTGAAGGCTGATATGTGGTATGCTTTTTCCCTGGGAGGTTTTTCTAACCCTTGAATTTTTTAAATGATGAAAATAGCTCAATTGCTTAGTGTTATAATTGGATTGTTTATATATATTCATAGATATGAGGAATGTAAAGAGAAACTAGTGCCATTTCTGAAGAAAGTTGGCTTCAATCCCAAAAAGGACATTCACTTTATGCCCTGCTCTGGGCTGACAGGAGCAAATCTCAAGGA